CTGTACCTCAGTTAACAGACTTAGAATCGTGTCTCGCTAAAGCATGCACATTTATTTTATGTGTCATACATAATTATATTTAAAAGTAATTGCAATTGATTGGTGAAAATTTAATTACGAAGATTGACCTCATTTGTTTACTTGTTGTTTTAATTACGAATCATCGAAAATGCCCAGATATTTTATAGAACAAACCGTTGCAAATAGATTATTTAGAACAAAGAGGAATTGCTATTTCTTATATAAAAAAAGAAATTGTTAGTTGCCGAATATAACATGTACAAAAGAGAAATACAAAAATAAGATCCGAAAGTTTGTGGCAGCAGGCAACTCTAAAATTTCATTAAAAAAACTAACGAGCTAAGAAAATTAATATTGAACGCTGAGCTCCCCGTCTTAGATTTCTCTCTGTTCGGCCAAATGGATTTCTCCAACGCGAGCAATCTATCTAATTCCCTCGTACTTTTGTAGCCGAGCTACATTCAAACAACTTCGGCTTATAATATCACGATTTATGGACGATGGAAGGGCTCTCGTCATCGATAAACGTGCGATGAATAAGCGATGGCGCAAACGCAGACGCGGCTGGTGTTTCTCTACGTCGTCTTTGATATTTCCCGGATTCTGAGAAAAAGGGGTAAACGCTGAGAGAGATCCGCGAGGGGGGGCGTTTAGATCTTCTGAATCTACATCTGTCCACTGCATCGTGTCGGCCGAGCGCCGATTCCACCGTCACGACCATTCGCGCGAAGGTCAGTCATGATTCGCGAGGATGGGCGCGCGTCTCCTGCCTTAATATTCTCACGGATCGCGATCTGAATGCTCCTATTCATAGCTCTTGAACAGATGTAGACATAGAGCGGACGTGTGTCTATTATGACACGCCGATTGCGCGAAGTACCTGTACTAATACTCGTACAAGTGTCAATACGCGAGCGATGCTGAAGAACATCAATCAAAAGGACTTTAACGGCCTTGATTAAAAAATAAATGAAATAAATTCCTTGTCCCTACGCCGGGAAACTGTGCACCAAGTGCTCGTTACACGATCGGAAAGTAGTTTGAAAATTTTCTCGTTAGAGAAAAGCGAGATACGCAAAGGATATTTGCACTACGCGTACAAGAGAACTTATAATAGCAGCTAACTTTTTTAACGTACACCCGCTAAAGATGGTTCTTATTTGCGCAAACTGTGTGAAGCAATATCAGCTTCTAAAGTTGTGAAATGTAAAATAAGCTAACAATAGCTAGGGGCCTCATTGAAATAGTCTTCATTATTACTATGGAAATGTCGCTTTTTTTATTTATGGCTCGTGATACTTAGCTAACGTAAAATATTGTATTTCGGAAATTTAACTCTTCTCTTTCACTTAGTTACGGGAGAAAAGGATGGCAAAGGTAAATTGCTTATTTAAAATAATAATACTGTAAAATGTATCTACACAATGCGTAATAAGACAAGCGCTGTTTCCTTAATGCTCCGGATCTACGTACCTTGTGGAAAATAAGGATCTTCACTTTTTTTTTACTTCTCTAACGCTTTAGCCTTCCATGTAGTAAAAGTTATTCGTATGAGAGTTGACCGATTATCACATACTTCAATTATCTCAATCCTCTTCCTTGTTGTTATTACAAAGTTCAATCAACAGCTAATTATTACTTCACACAATTATCCAGCAAACGTCGTCAGATAAATGATGAACCGATGTAAAGAAATTGTAAAAAGAATAGAGCGCGCCCAAGATGACAAGGACGACTTGTCTTTCTTCCCGAGTGATCTGTCACTGATGTAATGCAATTGTTGTAGGGAGAGACGATCGCTGACAATTCGATCCTCCCCGCTTCGTTTGCCCTGATTTTCATAAAGTTTAGGCAACTTATTCGCAACACGAATATATTCAAATGCACCATCGAACTTTTCTCACGATTATGTTGTAATCGTAATTCTTACGAGCATTAGTGTGATCGAGTTGTTGCAGTACATCACTTCGAGATGATGTAACGCAGATCATTACCCTGTTTTTTCTTTTATTAACAGAAATTATTTGTCGATGAGACAAAATGACTTAACCGTTTCTTCTCACTTGGGAGATCCCGGATCGTGAGACAATTGTCGATGTTATATATAATACAATAAGTGGATTCCGGGCATGTTTTGCGAGGGAACCAAGCGCGGAAAGCGCGATTAAAGTCTTGCGCTCGTGAGAACAAATTTGATGTAATTATCGCGGAAGCATCGCGCCGCCTTGGAGGAACGTTATATGGAAATTGTACTAATCGTACTTATATATAGATTTTTCGCCCCCCGCATGTGCAATACCACTTCAAAATAGATCAAGCTTGACAATTTTGAAATTGTATTGTATATATTGTTGATTCTTACATGTCATTAGTAATTAATGCAAGCTGAAGATGAGTATTCAAAATAATGTCCGGCTGAAAAAGATTTCTTGATATTTAGAAATGTTTTAGGAATCTTTCTCTTGTTTCAGTTCTAAAATTAGAACGCGCACACTTTGAAATGCTGCAGATTGTAAACATATTATTGTCATAGCCGCTTCATTCGTGGAAATAATTTGAAAAATTTCATAATTAAATTTCATATATTCATACGTTCATCGCAACGTGAGAACTTATTCGTCATAGTGACGAGTGACGAATGCATTGGATACTGCTATTATAATCGTAATCAGTTTTTTCCTTCCATAATGTTATGTCCATGTTTATTCTAATTGCCACGGGATGGATAAAGAATTCTTAAAGTATTCATAAAATAGATGAATTCTAATACAGCCAATCGTTAGACTTCATTAACGATTAGTTCTAGAGGAATGGATGATTTTGCAATGCGTAAACGATTATCGCAATCGTATTAAATCGCTGATGGATTTCAGCAGAAACGCTAATACGATTATAGTCGGAACCTTTCTACACTGGATGCTAGGATCACATTGATGGATATCGCAAGCTTTACCGGCTGACCGTCTTATGAAAATGAGTGTAATGCTGCCCGCAATTTTTTTCTCGAGTTTAAAATTTATCTCTTCAAAACGTTTTCCAAAACAGGGCGGTTCTTGCTGGGCAGATTTTTATTATTTAGAATCTCGTGGTGATTGGAAGCAGAATTACTATTGAATATGTATAAGTTAATTTATAAATCTCCAAGTTACAAATCTTGTATTGAGAATCTCTAGAGCTAGTGAAATGCAATGTTTATTGCGACTAAACTGGTTTTCGCATGGTATATAGTTAGGATACCGAGGGATGGAAAAGAGCGAGGAGATAATCGCCTTAGGGGTTCACGTCTAGTACCCTCGAGGTTTTGCAAACTGAAATCTCGTCCGTCCGTACGATAACTTAGCAAATAGTTGCCATCCTCGCCCCGGGACTCGTCGCGATCGACTCTAATTGCCGCTGACTTTGTGCCAACGTCGCGAAGGTGGATGACATCATGCGCGCGGATTTAGGCCTTATTAAGCGGAAATCGTGCGTATAGAAATTATTACGCAGTATCGCGACACGTTGTGCGAGGCGAGAAGAGTCGATATCGGCGCCTGCTTTTGTCCCATCGACATAAGTTACGCGCCGACTGCCTTTATAGTTTATACCGCCCACGCAATGCAATAACTCGCGCTTTGCGGTGAAAGCACCGTAGAGGAGAACGTGCGAAGACACGTCGTGTCACTACGTACGTCCGATGATGATTATGCGATGACACAGACCGATTATGAGTCCGAAACGGGGCGCGCGAAGAACGCTGTCAAAGAACGAATGGAATCGCACGTTCTTTGACAGCGACAGAGCGCCGCGTCATCGTAATGGTTTTCATATGTAAAAATTATGCCGCAAGTGAATCATTTAAAAGTTCGTCAAATAGATAATTAGTTGAATTGATTAAACCAGAAAATTTCTTCAAAATAATTTACAAGGCAATTTATTGAATAAAATTGTCAAGTAAAAAGAAAGAAATTGCCTGTCCGGAAAATTGTTCGGAAGAACATTCTTTTAATTTAAAATTTATTTTCTTAGATTTTTGGGGTGACAGAGGAAACTTGGCACACATCATGCACAGGGCATATTATGCACTCCGAACGGAGTGCTCTTGTCATTAAATTGGACTCGCCCCCCTCTGTCAAACGACAAAATCAATACGATCTACCCTTCTAATCATTTCGGATAGTCTCGACATCTCGATTGGAAAACAAAGCGAGAGACTTTACGTTTTAAAAGCATTTATGTGCTCTTCTCTACGTATTGAAGGGTATTATTTTCTCCAGCTTTCCGATATCATGCATTATTTATTAGGAATCTGATCTCGGGCAAAGATTCAGAGCTAGAAACAATAGCACCACAGCTTTACAAACGCGATTGCGCCACAATTATTTGTAGAAAATAGTAATAAAATTTCTTCAAACAATAAAGTCGTTTAAAGAAAAATTACAAATTATATATTTTGTACTATATGTAAAAAGATTATGTATGCACATAATCTTTTACATATATTAATGAAAATAATGAATTATTAAAATTTATGCAATTTTTTCATAGCTTTATCTCTAATAACAAATGTTTCAAGATATTTGAAGATAAATATATATTTTTATATATACATCTATAATCTATGAGACAAAATAGATGTTATTTAATTTTCTTAAGGATTAATTAACTACTCGATTACATGTAAGTAACCGTTTCTTATCATTTTGGTACAAATTTACATACGGATATTTATTAGAAATGAAGAAACAGTTTCATTAATAATTCATTTGTTAGCTCTGTTACTGTCGTAATTTATATTTGTGCTAATGACGTTAGTTCACTACTCGTACTTTAATAAGCAAAGGGTAATCGCGGTAGCAGCGTGAGCCTTTCCTATCTAAATACAAGATCGAGATGCAGAGACAATCTTCGCGATCTTCCTTCTTCAAGACGATCCTCACCGTCGACTAGAGCAGCGCGAAATACGCGGCACTCCGGTAGACGTTACTCTACTTGCAGTATTTCACTTTCACTAACCCCGGCCTCCCACGAGCTGCTCATCTCCGCAAGATCCCCCGTCAGGACCCCCCTCTGGAGAAGGCCTCCTTCGGCCCCGCAGCGGGTCACTTACGTCGTGAGGTCGTTTCATGGATAGCGCACCGCTTATGGATAGTAATGGGCCCGCGCTAGATCCGTTCCCGCTATTTCGGAGATTCAACCTGTCGATATTTACTTTAGGTAATCACGCGGGGTCGAGGAGGTCCAGTTTCCTCTCCTCTCTAGACCGACACTCTTATGTTTAGACGTGGTTCCTGCTTTCTTTAAAAGATGGACTTCTCATATATGTAATATTATATAAAATACATTTTATGTTAAATATTTCATAAATACTTCGCCTGTAAATATTAAAATATACATTATTATCAAAATGTGTAGATTTGTGACACTCCTTCAAAACGATTACTATTACAGTAGGAATTGTCTGAATAAACTGAATAATTAACTGTATTATAATATTATTACAATCTATCATTAATATTGTTATATTGTTACTATGTACTGAATATTATAATTGCAACATAAGTCATACGTATCTCTCAAAATTTGACGGGCGAAAGATGATGCGGAAGCAACGGCCTCGTCTCTCCTACGATTTTCTGAAGTACAGACACCTCGCGCGAAAGGATCCATCCCATCGCTATTCGCGGTTTCGCGTGCTTCCCCACCTTGCATCCCGAGGAACAGAGGAAAAAAGGGGGCTCAATCTGGAGGAGGTCGAAGGATGAGCGCCGGTGCTCATCCCTGGTGGGGGCGTATCAGCACTCGGGGTGCTACCCAAGGATATATATGCCGATGAAGTTACTTCCACCATCAGTCACTGTCTTGACTTACCTCAGCACTGCGGTGTGTTTTGTACGTACGGATCGGTTGGGTGAGTCCACGACACCACTTCATCCCCCTAATGGCACCCACGGTCGCGCTTTTGCCCGCTGCTCGACTCTCCGAGTACTCGCGTCTGTCGCATTCATGATCGGATCCTTTTTTTTTCCGTTCCAACCAGTGTTCGCCCCGAGAGCTGAGTTCGTTATCACATTTTTCCTCTCTAATGCATCTGTGCGCGTATCCCAACGTGGCACCGATAACACGCACGAATGACCCGACGAAGGTCCCGAACTTCCGTGCGCGTTGCTCGGGGATCGAACGAGGAACGAACAGTGTGTTAAAGCAACGCGGTCAGTGATTTCCATTCGAGCGTATCCTGGAGTTCCATTTTCTTTTAAATATATTTAGTACATTAGCCCCCTCGTGTACAGAAATGGGCGATGTAAGTTACAACAATAGCGCAGAGCACGCGCATGTGCTCAACCAAGTATCGATATTCGAAATATTGAGTAAATTTATGATGCGAGGAACATGTAGAACATAAAAATTCGTTCTTTCCGCGTTTTATCCTTGCAAACGCTGTCGCACTAAATTTTTACAAAAATTTAGAATTTTTATAATAATTTCCTACTATATAAAAAAATAGATTTTACATTTTACGACGACATATTAATTGATTCTTTGTCATTTATTGAGCTTAGTATTCCAGCGTTAAAATCAACCACCGCGATGTGAGCAATGTAAATGTATTAAAAATTACTTTCTTATTATAGCAAAAAGGATTTTATGATTTAAAAGCATTTTTAGCAGTAATGTTATTTTAACAGAAATAATATTTCAACGAAATAAATGACATATTTTACAATGAAAAGCAAAGTATGAATATATACGAATAGCAAATAAACTTTATAAATATAATTTTAAGAATTACTGTAAATTATTGCAAAATTTGATGCTTCAATGTTCTTCGTAAACATACATTAACTATGAGATATAAAGAGACCAAGCGATGATTGCATTATCTTTTCAGACTCACCCACTCCTTGAGGGTGCTTGCGCCAGCAAAGATGCGGCTACACTTGCTCTGTATCGGTAAGACAAAACTGATATTGATTCAAGACATTGGGTTCATCGCATGGCTTCATCTCGTGTAATCATCTAATGTAGTAATCGGGTTGTTACGTTGGCATGCCATCGAATAAGCACATGGGAAGAGCTAACAAAAAGCGACGCAAGAAACCACGCGGCAATATCCGTCGGTTTTCCTCTGGAGAAAACAGAAAGATTAGCAGAGATTGCAGTGTCGTGGACAGAGAAAAGAAAGTTCGCAATTTGTGACGTGTCCCAACGTCAAGTATAACCTTCGTCTCGATAATCGAAGGAGATGAAAAGTCTCCAAGCAATTGTTAAGCAATCCTACGCCAACTTTACCTTCCGTTCATCGAATTATCGTACCGTATAAGTTTTCATACGCGCCATTACGAGCCACGCAATCGGTATGGCATTCTTTGACAATGCTCGGCTCTTGTCCGTGTGACGACTGCAAATCGCGGCAGAAAGATATAAAAAGAGAAGGAAATTTTATGAGCATCATCACAGTCGCGAACGTGATAGAATGAAAATTTTCTAATAAATATGTTTTAAACAGATACTTTTATACATTCAATAATAAGAAGAAGAAGAGTCCGATTTTAACGTATTGCATAAACTAGGAATATTTTATTAAATTTTCTTTCCGTATGCGTTATTCGAACTATAAAAACAAATTACAAGTTGTAAACAAGTTGTAGTTGTCATATCAAACAAGCGAAAAAATTTCTGCTAATTAGCGAGTATAAACTGTGTGTGAATTTAAAAAAAATTCTTACTTGTTTAAACGATTATGTGATCGAATAACACATAATGGAATTGAAGCTCTCATAATAAGTACGTCTCTTGTACAACTCAGTTACGATATTACGGTCCAAACGAGTTTTAAATTTCGATGGAACCTTCACGCAAGGTCTGCGGTATTTTTTCGTAACATCCTCTAATTAAAACGAATTAGAGATAAGCCAGTACGCCGTGGGCTGGTATTGTTCCAACGCACTTTTACGTATTACGGGGTCACCCTTTACGCTTACGATCACCCGCACTTAAAATAAAGGTCAAGTGTATGCAGCGTACCGTGTTAGCGCAACTTCTATCGCTTTGCTTCTTACGAATCTTAAAAACGAGCACCGTTCAAGATCGTAAATCTATGAAAAAGGCGAGCGCCCGGCGAGGCAAAGAGAAAACCAAGAATAATTCGGAAGCGCAAGCCAAACTTTTCTAATTTTAAAGTCAAATTATGAAACATGAGCTATTACAATTTTCTCTTGAATTGCAGTAACTCATAAAGATTGAACGAGAATTAATTAAAATATCTAGGTTTTTACGTACCGTGTTATAACATTGATACCAGGTAAATGCGATACTAATTTGGGTAGAGATGTCAGATAAGAAAAATTTGTAATCCGAAGAAATGGCGGTTTAAGCCGTTTCCGCCACGGCTTCCCTTCGGGCAAGTTACGTCAATACTCTGACGATCGTGCAACACTAGTGTACCCACGTAACAGTCAAAGATCCTCTCGAACGATGCATCGAGTACCGTGCTCGGATTATCTTCGTAGATCACGCGAGGTTCGCCACATCTTGATCTCCGCCCCATTGTTTCGAGGTAACCAAAACCGAGGCTATCAACCGACAAGAAGATGTACGAATAATGGTACTGCGATATTGTTGCTTGAAATAGCCTTTTGGCCAAATTATGCGTGGTGTGGAAATAAATGACGAATGGAGAATGGAGAAGAAAGATCTCCTGCAAAATTGTTAATAGTACATTTTAATATGGAAAAAAAGTCTGCATGCTCGCGAGAATTAACTATTCAAACAGTCTCTTGTGCTTTTAGTCGTATTTAATAATTCAGTTGTATCGCCCAATGAAACCGGAAATTACCGGAGAGAAAGCGTCGCTGTAAAATCTACCAGTTATATTTTCTATGCATAATTGATTTCAAAATGAAATTTTACTAGCGATTGAATGAAAACTTAATACAAAATTTATGATTTACTGTCTAGAGACATTAGATAATTTTTTCACTTTAATTAACAGTTACTTCTATAAGTGCAAAGTTTTATTCTATTTTATATTGAATATGATAAAATATATGAAGCTAATTTAAATCACGATCGATAAATTATTGAGTACAACATTCATATGTAGCGTGATAAAAAGTAGTTTTCTAGATTACCCATGACAACGCTCTTATCTGAGCCGCAGAGTCATGTCAATCGTACTTGCTCAGTTACATCTATTAGTCTACGTCAAAGTAAAGTCACCATTAGATTTTAATTTATCAACGTCAACGCCTGGGGGTATCGACGTTCGAAACGTTTGATAATTAGTTATTCATCTAGGACGATATTCATCGCGATAACAGCAAAATCTAATTAAGATTTTTATCATTCTTTTGCCACTTGCGTGTGACAATATTTTCCAAAGATATTTTCAATTATTTCTGTGTGCTCGGCGCTGCTGTGTTGCAAGAAATTAAGCAATATTTTAACAAAGCGTATCTTCTAATTAAGCAAACGAGATCTACTGGAAAAAACAATATTTAAAGATTTTTATTCTGATCGCACACGTTTTCTAATAATTAAAATAGATAACTATTACTTTTGAAAACATTACTCCATAAAGCTTGAGAGAGATCACCATCTGGATCTTCTCGCATGCCCAAGAACCAGAGTTCTGTATCTGCTTAACAAGCAACTTGCGTGATCTGCGGACCGGCATGACGGTGTCATTGCGAAAACGCACACGGGAGTCTTCACAATTCTCGTGTAACACAACACACGCACTCCAGCAGCTCGTTCGTATTGCTTCTCTTTCTCTCTTTCTCTCTTTCTCCTTCTCTCTCATTAGCACGCGCGATCTCCTCTCTTTTGCGTTTATGCCTCTTCATTTTTTTTTTTTTTTGATGCGATTTACGTACTGCCAAGCGTGCGAAGAACCCGTAGCTTCGCTGCGCCTACTCTAAGCGCGCTCGACAATGCTCCTTAATTAATTAGACGGGAAGTTATGTCAGAGATTTTTCAAGACACATTTCTCTTGTGTGAGACTCGCACGCAACCTCTCGTCATCACGACGAATTGCGGTGGTTACTAAAGGCGGCGCCGACGACATAGAGCCGTTAGCACTCGGGATAATTGATGTCATAATAAAAATTCACTTTCTGATGAATTTGTAACGTAAAATAAAGATCGCGCAATTTGCCGAGGTGCGTGACCAAAAATAATCCTAGTCTTGTTTGTATTTGTTCCAGTCTTGCTGGCTGTCACTCGTACAGCTTTGGTAAGTAACTCCTTCAAGCATATATTATGTCATTTGGAAAAGAAACTTATGAGGTAATAGTATCTTTTAATTCGCGACAATTTACAATCGATTTCTTCGATGTAAGCTTAAGCTGTTTTCACTTTCTTCAATCTCCGTTAGAAAAGCGGTATGTTAAAGTCGGTGTAAATCAACGCGATGCAGTCATTTCAATTTTTCGCGATCAACACATTTTACTCCTTCTTTCCCACCTTATGAAACAGCATTTTCAGTTGCGCAAGTTTGAGCACTCTCATATTAATCGGTCGTGACTGTAACTGTTGTAACTTCATAACGATCACAATGATTGAGAGTACGAAGACGCTCCTTTGGGCTTTTCTACCAGCACGATTCTAACGATGTCGGAAATCATAAATCTGATATAATTAATCGTTCAAGGGTATCGTGATCTCAACGGTGCTAAAGTGATACCAAATGTGGCAAACGTATTTAAATCAAATAATACATTGTATAAATTTATTATATTATTAACATTATAATATTAATTATATTAATGTTATTTAAAATAATTATTAATTTCCACGTGTTAAAGACATTAAAAATAAAATTATAAATTAATGTTATACTTAAAATCATGATATACTACGTTATCATTTTTAATTTTTTTGCTTCTTTACGATAAGTTACATATTATATCTTATCGATTCTATTATGGTTTAGTGGACATTCTCCATATATGATAATTAATATTACAGGCTGACGAGGGATATAATTATCCTAGGCCGACAAACCAACTTATACCAGGTACTTCGGGTGGAGGCCCTGGTGGAAAACCAGAATATCCATCTGGTGGTCCAGGTGCACCTGGAGGTGGTCCTGGGGGACCAGGAGGAGTTCCTGGTGGGCCAGGAGTTCCTGGTGGACAAAATGGAAGGCCAGGTGGTTATCCAACAGGACCATCAGGATTTCCGGGTCGTCCAGGCGGTGGTCAACCAGGTGGACAGCAGCCTAGCTTTCCATCGGGTCAAGGACCTTCTGGTGGATATCCTAGTGGACGACCGTCAATTCCCTTTCCGAGCGGTGAACCAACAGGAAGACCAGGACCGGGTCAAGGTGTACCGAGTGGACCAGGTGGACGACCAGAAGGGTTTCCGACAGGACCAAGTGGTGGATATCCTAGTGGCAGACCTGGTCAAGCACCAGGTGGGTTTCCAGGTGGACAAAGACCTTCTGGATACCCAAGCGGTGGGCCCGGTCAAGGGAAACCAGAAGGTCCTGGATATCCTGGCGGTCGGCCTGGTGGACAAGGAGCAAGTGGGGGATATCCCGGCGGACAAACTCCTGGAGGTTATCCCGGTGGAGCACAAAAGCCTAGTGGCCCAGGAAGTGGATATCCTAGTGGAGGGCCAGGAGGTGGCTATCCTGGAGGTACTCAGAGACCTGGCGGTGGTCCAGGTCCTCAAGGGCCAAGCGGATATCCGGGCTCAGGAGGTCCTGGAGGTCAGCAAGGCCCAGGTGGAACGTCTCCCGGTGGCTATCCTGGAACTAGACCGGGAACTCAAAGACCAGGCGGGTACCCGAGTGGACCAGGTCCTCAAGGACCAGAAGGATATCCAAGCGGACCGGGAGCACAAAGACCAGGAGGTTACCCGAGCGGTCCGGGCCCACAAGGACCAGGAGGAGCTCCAGGTGGACCAGGACCGCAAGGGCCAGGAGGATTCCCAGGTGGACCAGGCCCGCAAGGGCCAGGAGGATACCCCGGTGGACCAGG